CAAGTAGAGATGTTTGTGAATGAAGGAAGTGGGGATCATCTGTTTTTAGAGGTGAAATTAGTGAGAAAATAGCCACCAAAGATTCGTTATTTCTTTAGCTTAAGAGCCTGTGGTATTGAAAATGTACATTTTTGTGCCTTTAATCAACGTTTTTCAGAAAAATCCACACAGAAATGAGTTCTTTAATGGGCATGAAGGGTGTTGAGCCAAAAAAAAAAATTTGATAAAAATTCACAAACCTGCGGAAAAATGCCGATTTCTTCACTTTGATTATTTTGACGAGAGCCTGATTTCACCACGCTGCCTCACGTATTATCTTTGTCTCATGTTGAAACGATTAACTTACATTCTAAATGTTTATTTGTGGCTTTCTGTCAAGCCTAGCTTTGTTTCCCTTGTGATTGTAATCAGTGGGTGTGGCGATAAACATGTGAAAGTATGTGTATGTGTCCACATTGAGTTACAGAATTCGTTAAAAAGGTTTCATCTGCAACGTATCAAGTGGTAGATAGATCACTTTGGCATGAAGGACAGGTGCGATTGGCAACAAACACAACTCTTCTGCTTGAAACGTATATAAAGATGAAAATTTACGTAGATCTGTCACTTGTCTCCGGCGATCAGGAGCACGTAAAGCTGTGACGTCACCTACGCTACCCCGGCTGTTACTTGCAAGTTCTTGCATCCATAAACACAGAGTTCCCTCCTAGTCCAAGATGGCCGCCTTACGAAGAAGTTTGTGGCTTTCCTCTGTGGTGTTTTACGTCGCTATTGGCCTCTCGGATTGTTTCCCGCGCTCTTACAACTCCGCCACTGGTAAGTTGAAGTTATCGTAATCATGGGCCAGTCTGTCCCCGTCGTTTTATGAAAGAACAATTCTGAAATTATTCTAACTGGGCCCAAAAATGTGAAATTATGCGATTGTGTTAATTTTAACGAAGAACGGTAACAGAAAATAATAAGAAAATATGCAAAAAAAGATCAAATTTTGCTAAATTATGCGGAATGCATAAAACCACGGGGACAGGCCAGTATAATGGTAAAAAGTTGTTCCCACATCCGATTCGGACATTGGGGATTGCCTTGTTAGTGAGACAACTTCCTGGGCCTTCGGCATATTGTGGTAGAGTGGCCAGTTCCTTTCCACGCCGCCTTTACTTCCCCAACTCCAAGTCAGGTACCCATTACTGCTGAGTGAGCAGGAAGGGGGGTGAAAAAAATCCATGTCCGAACTGAGGCTCGAACACGGACTTTCTGCTTCGGAGTCGAGGTATAAAGTACGAAGTACAGAACATATAATAATATATTCTGACAAGGCCGGCAATTTAGCAAGTGGTAATTCTCTTGTGAAAATGTAACAAGATCTGTTGCAGGCAATGCAGCGAGTAGAAATGTCTCAAATGGAGATTTTTCGAAAGGTTTGGGTGGCAATTTCACAAGTGGAAACTTTTCTAGGGCAGTAGCGGGCAATTCATGTCGTGGACATTTCTCCCGGGTAACTTTACAAAATCTTTGGCAGGCGGTTCAGCAAGTTGAGATGTCGCTATGAGAATTTTACTAGAATTTCGGCAGACAATTCATTGAATAAAAATATGTCCGGTAAGAAGAAGTAGATCTAGATCTATAAATTGCAACGATTGTGCTCTTTTGTGTTGCACGCTGATAACGTGAGTTCGATTCCCATGTGAATCTTTTTTATTGGAATTTTTTTTCTCCATCGAGCAGGCCTATATAGGATCTATCTGACGAATGCAGTTTCTGGGATACTGAAATATACGTAAGGAAAATGAACATCGAACTCTCGCTGGTAACGTTGGAGGCAAACAAGGCAGGGGTAGACCCAGAGCAACTTGCTTGGAAAGCCTAAATAGATGGATGAAGGCAAAGATCGGGATGATACAGCGTTTTTTTTAGATCATCCGAGCAAATCATGATCGCCGATGTATGTAGCATATCTAGCACTTGATGATGATGATGATGATGATGATGATGATGATGATGGTGATGATGATGATGATGATGATGATGATGATGATGATGATGATGATGATGATGATTTCTGTAACTGCTGGGAATTTATATCCCGCTCAGCTCTCGGGATAAATTATGCAAATTGTGTCTTTTTTCAGGGGAAGTGGGAGGGGGGGGGATTACACAGGACAGGGATATGGAGGAACAATCAAAGCAATTTGTGAGCAAAATTGAAAAATCTGACAAGACTGGCGGCCATTTCCCTGGTCCTAAAAGTTCAGAAGGACCTCTGAACAGTATCATCACGCCTGAGCCAAAGGCAAAGGCATTCAGACATTACTCAGAAGTAGGCGATATGTTCTTTAAAAAAAGACAACAGTGGAACAGCTGACAGACAAAAGACAGACCAACACATAAGCAAACAGACAAAGAGACAAGCAAACAGACACACAAACAGACAAAAAGACAGACAGGCGGGCATACAGATTTCGTTTTCATATTTGATGTCTCTTTCATTCACAGCAAATAACAGTGCATCAAGAAATTCTACATCATTTGAAAATGCCTTTAGTGGAAACTTGACAAGATCTTTGGCTGACAATTCAACTGTCGGAAATGTGTCGAGTGGAAACTTCTCTACAAGATCTTTGGCAGACAATTCAACAAGTGGAAATGTCTCTAGTGGAAACTTGACAAGATCTTTGGCAGACAATTCAACCACAGGAAATGTCTCTGGTCGAAACTTGACAAGATCTTTGGCAGATAATTCGACCAGTGGAAATGTCTCCATTGGAAACTTTTCTACAAGATCTTTGGCAGACAATTCAACCACAGGAAATGTCTCAAGTGGAAACTTGACAAGATCTTTGGCAGACAATTCAACAAGTGGAAATGTGTCTAGTGGAAACTTGACAAGATCTTTGGCAGACAATTCAACAAGTGGAAATGTGTCTAGTGGAAACTTGACAAGATCTTTGGCAGACAATTCAACAAGTGGAAATGTGTCTAGTGGAAACTTGACAAGATCTTTGACAGAAAATTCAACCAGTGGAAATGTCTCTAGTGGAAACTTGACAAGATCTTTGGCAGACAATTCAACAACTGGAAATGTCTCTAGTGGAAACTTGACAAGATCTTTGGCAGACAATTCAACCACAGGAAATGTCTCTAGTGGAAACTTGACAAGATCTTTGGCAGACAATTCAACAAGTGGAAATGTGTCTAGTGGAAACTTGACAAGATCTTTGGCAGACAATTCAACAAGTGGAAATGTGTCTAGTGGAAACTTGACAAGATCTTTGGCAGATAATTCAACCACAGGAAATGTCTCTGGTGGAAACTTGACAAGATCTTTGGCAGATAATTCAACAAGTGGAAATGTGTCTAGTGGAAACTTGACAAGATCTTTGGCAGATAATTCAACAAGTGGAAATGTGTCTAGTGGAAACTTGACAAGATCTTTGGCAGAAAATTCGACAAGTGGAAATGTGTCTAGTGGAAACTTGACAAGATCTTTGGTAGACAATTCAACAAGTGGAAATGTGTCTAGTGGAAACTTGACAAGATCTTTGGCAGACAATTCAACACGTGGAAATGTGTCTAGTGGAAACTTGACAAGATCTTTGGCAGAAAATTCGACAAGTGGAAATGTGTCTAGTGGAAACTTGACAAGATCTTTGGTAGACAATTCAACAAGTGGAAATGTGTCTAGTGGAAACTTGACAAGATCTTTGTCAGACAATTCAACCACAGGAAATGTCTCTGGTGGAAACTTGAAAAGATCTTTGGCAGACAATTCAACCACAGGAAATGTCTCTGGTGGAAACTTGACAAGATCTTTGGCAGACAATTCAACCACAGGAAATGTCTCTGGTGGAAACTTGACAAGATCTTTGGCAGACAATTCAACCACAGGAAATGTGTCTAGTGGAAACTTGACAAGATCTTTGGCAGACAATTCAACCAATGGAAATGTCTCTAGGGGAAACTTGACAAGATCTTTGGCAGACAATTCAACAAGTGGAAATGTCTCTAGTGGAAACTTGACAAGATCTTTGGCAGACAATTCAACCACAGGAAATGTCTCTGGTGGAAACTTGACAAGATCTTTGGCAGACAATTCAACCACAGGAAATGTGTCTAGTGGAAACTTGACAAGATCTTTGGCAGACAATTCAACCAATGGAAATGTCTCTAGGGGAAACTTGACAAGATCTTTGGCAGACAATTCAACAAGTGGAAATGTGTCTAGTGGAAACTTGACAAGATCTTTGGCAGATAATTCAACAAGTGGAAATGTGTCTAGTGGAAACTTGACAAGATCTTTGGCAGACAATTCAACAAGTGGAAATGTCTCTAGTGGAAACTTGACAAGATCTTTGGCAGACAATTCAACCAATGGAAATGTCTCTAGTGGAAACTTGACAAGATCTTTGGCAGAGAATTCAATAAAAAATGTAAACTTGACAAGATTATTGGCCGGAAGTTTAACAAGTGGCGATATTCAGGAAGAAGATTTTTGGCAAGCAATCAAACAAGTGGTAAATGCTACAGTGGAAGCTTTAAAAGATCTTTGGCAAGAAAATTAGTTTGCACGGTTTTGGCACGGATAAGGCCGAAGCTATTGTATTAGTATGAAGAAGCCAAAATGTATTTTGAAGATTATTATTCTGAGATTCTTCCTGACGAAATATTTTAGGGCGGGGGGGGGGGGGGGGGGGGGGGGTAAACCCCCCCACAACCTGGGTTTTTTAAAGGCGGGAAATGGTTGCAACCCTGGGTTGATTTTAAATAAAAACTGGGGGGGCCGGGGGTTTAAAGGCCCCCCCCCCCCCC